CAACAAAAAACAACAAAAGATTAAATTAAAAATTAAATGCCCTATGAGCCTTTTCAACCAAGGTGCCAAAAACGTGCGAGTCTCATTTTTAAAAAGGGAACGGGGGATAAAAAAATAGATTACATGCTCTCCATTGCTGTCAGGGAAGTAGATCTAGTGCCTAGAATTAACGTCTTACGCCTGAGCGTAAGCACGTGTTTTGGGAGGTAATAAAAATACACAAACATAATTCTAAATTAGGCTAAGCATCGCAATCTCTTTGAAGCACAGAATTCTGTGCTTTGAAGACAATATATACGAATCCCTATTAAATATCATACATTCGTGTTACAAAGTTTTCGCATTTATTCATTTCCCTTCAATGCCCGCTTGTTTTTGCAGCGGGGAGATTGCTGATTGAATGAAAGCCAGTGACTCATTTTTGTTTGTTTTTTTACTGCTACTACTGCTATTACTATTGGTTTTATTTCTTTGACCTGGTGACTTATTTCCAAGATTGTCACATTGTCGACTGTGAGTAGTGAAAGGGTAGAGATCTACATTATTATTGAGTAAATCCTATTATTGACGTAAGAGTAAGAGGCCGACACTACAAGGTAAGTAGGTTAGATCTAGATTTAGATCTAGATCTATATCTAGATCTAGATCTAGATCTAGATTCTAGATGTACTGCAATGTCAATGACAACTCTGTTTTTCAAACGCAACGTAGATCTAGATCTAGATCTAGATCTAGATCTAGATCTAGATCTATATCTATATCTATATCTATATCTAGATCTAGAATCTAGATTGTAGATTAGATCTATCTAGATCTAGATCTAGACTTAGATTCTAGAATCTAGAACTAGATCTAGATCTAGATCTAGATCTAGATTTCTAGATCTAGATCTATATCTAGATTTAGATTAGTTGGCAGGCTTACTTAAACCGGCAGTGGACGCTCCGTCTAAACGAAGCTTGATTTTTGGAGTGCTGTGAACGTAGCCTCAACAACGTCTGCAATTGCAAACTGCATTCAGGCAATCCAGGGCGCCGTGAACATAGCCTGCCAAAGTTACGTTCACAGCGCCGCGGACGTAGCCTGCAGACTACTTTACGGCGCCGTGAAGTTGCCGTGAACGTAGCCACTGCGTTTTTGAGTTTTCAAAAGGGCGTGTATACAGACCCGGTAACCAGGAACAAAGTCACAAGGTATACAGACCCGGTAGGGGAACTCTCTTTGTGATTTCGGAAACTTTCAGCGCCCTCTTGGCTCAGGGTAGAGCTAGGTTTTTCTACTTCTAGATATCCTAAATCTAGAATCTAAATCTAGATCCGATGTAGAAAAAGATCTAGATTTTGATCTAGAAACCTAGATCTAGATCTAGATCTAGATCTTCTACTGGTAGGCTGTAACTGAAGGCAGTGAAGGCTAGATCTAGAATCCTACAAGACTTTTATAATGGTTACCTGAAGGTGATCGTATTGTTACTTTTGAAGTAATAATGTGATCAACCATTACTCACCGCCTGCCACCACCCACTTTTATTCTCACCCCGGTGAGAATAACCCATGTCTCGCTATTCTCATCCCCCCCCTGGTGAGAATAGCTCCCACCCCGGTGTGGGCATGAGGCGAGGACTCCCCCCTGACCTCTCAAAAGCCGATAAAATCACCTAGGCCCTTGATGGCTTGGTTGGGAACGAATAATAATAATGTAAAAACCTTTTTCGCCTCTCCAGTTAAAAGAAAGGCTCACTACCGACGCTACTGAGCGAGATGTGGGACCGGCCACCGACTGGACTATTCGTTGTTTAGATCTAAACACTGACTTAATTAACGATGGCAGGCCTCTCACTTTCTGCCTGCAGAAATAAATTAATTATGGTTCACGGAACAGAGAGTGTGTACAAACGTAACAAGACACAAGCACGAGACAATAAAAAAAATTGCTTTTGCACGATGGTAGAAGGATTGTAAATTATTCAGACCAAATGGGCAAGGGCGTTAAGTTGTGTTAACTAGTTTAATTTTATTATTAAGCAACCCGAGCTCTTTCCTTCATTTTCTTTTTTTTTTTCTTCTATTCTTCATTGCCTTTTCTGTCCTCTTCTTCTTGAACATTTGTAGTTTGGAGCCAAAAAAGAGACAGAGAGCCAAATGAAATTCTCCGGGCCAGACGCAATCCAAAAGAGCCAAATTTCTGGGATTTAGCTCCAATCTGACAACCCTGACTGTGACTAGATCTATCATGTCTATTTGGACTTCGGACACCAACATGATCCTGTCCACGGAGCTTCAGCCCCGGTGAGAATAATTGGTTGGAGTGATAGTCAGCCTGAAATATGATGGCCAGCTCTATTTGGAAGCGAGTCTGATTTGATTTTTTATGTATTTCGGACTCGAGTCGGAACATGGGTTTTATCTAGGCCTATTCGGACTCGGGTCCGAAAAAAATGTTTTATTTTTTCGGACTCTGCTTCTAAGTGAGTTTGTGGTTGTAAGGAGGTTACATGATAATGTAACTGTCGTCTGGGGATTTTACGTAAAACCAGAATTAGAAAGAAAGTTACCTCCTACTAGGACTGTAATTGTGTCAAAAGTCAAAAGACTGCACTCTCATTGCCCAATGGTCTACGTACACGGTAACCGACAACTCAAGGCCAAGGTCTTTCCACCACCACTAGCCTACAGCATCATCATTACTTCCACCATCAATTGTCTTTCCACGTGATTAATTTCATTTTGTTGTGTGTTATAGTTTTTCTGTAAAATTAATATTTAAAAAAATCACATCACATAAAATCAACTGCCGTTGCGTGGCCTCTTCCCAACTCCTCCCCCCAGCAAGCCGAGAGTGTGAGACTGCTGCGGGCAATCTCACAGGTCGACATAATTAACTTTGCCCCTGGCAAGATCAAGTCAACTTGGTTGTTTTGTTCATACTAACGATGCAGGGAGGGCCAGTTCCGATAGATCTAGTGACTGGATATTGAAGCTCACGTCTCGATTGTTATCATTATAATAAAAATTTTTGTTTGTAAATGCTGGAAATATTTAAAAACAAGGGTTGGAAGTCGGAACGGATGTCATGCTGGATTCAATTCAGAGTCCGAATATAATTTTGAGTCTCTTCGAAATATATGATTGTAAAGCTAGATCTATGATTAGACCAGACTGTGGTTTAGAGCAATTGATTCTAGTACTTCTTAGGTGCTATTCTCAAATCGAGAACCTATTCTCTTTGCGCCTGAGGATTTGCCTTCCTGAGCTTTGGTATTTTACGTAACATGCAGTTCCGTCATGTTTAATTGATGCTTGCTAGATCTCCTTTACTGGTTACTTATACCTGGTGCCAATTGTCGAGATTGGTTCCGTTCAGTTTGGTCATCGGGGCTAGTCAGATTTTCCTCCATGCCATCTAGTGGGAAAAGCTACCATCGTGACTCAAGAAACTGACGATGACCTTCAAGAACAAACATGATGTTTTTGTTTTCAAGGCCACGAGTCGGACGATCGGTTTGAGGGGGTCTAGATTCCATTTATAGTGTGCACTGAAGCCGCCAGAAACGTAATGTAATGTAATGTAACCGAACTGATCCTCTAATGGGCACCGCCTATTAGTTAGTCAAAGCTGGAACAGGATTATAAGTCCTGCTGATTTGAAATCTATAATTTTTTAGTTTGAGATGGAAGTTGCCCTGGCGTTAGTTTTGTTAAAAAATGTTTCAATTTTGATTTGCACGAGTTTTATTTCTCTCAGACTCTTAATATTCAAAGCAGAACTATGTACCTTATTTTGATATTAAATCTTGATTTAGCACTCTAACTTACTAAGTGCTAAATGATGATATTTTTAGACGAATAACAACATAATGTGTGTGGACAATCAGTTACCTGCCTCTTTGAAGTGAGAGGTGATAGCATTTTTCATTTCAGTGGTGTGTTCAATGAATATACCGTGAGCCTCACTTATAACAGTTGGTTATGAAGGTATTCTGGCTATAGCGGACTTATAATAAATCACAGAGTCCGATCTATGTAATGTGTTGTAAAAATAAAAAGGTTGTTATTTTAGGAGGTATTTAGTAGAGATAGAGGCATGTTTAGCTATAATAATGCGGCTATAACAGTGGTCCAACCTTTGACAAAGTCCTATTAAAGACAAACAGCAGCAAAAAAGGGAATGAAGTAGCAAAATAACGCCCAACATAGTGAATTGCACTCGCAGAACCTATATGGGCCTTAGAAGTTGATTTTGTACACATTTTATGATGTGTCATATCGTGTGTGAAAGCTGGATGCACCTTGGTGCTGATGGAAAGCCAGTCACTTAGTGTGGACTTGGTCTGGCACCACATCATTATATTGTCTCACGATGGGATGATCAGACTTGTAACGGGAATGATATTATTGAATGAAGAGAAGGCATTGGCATTTGATCTACTGCATGTATGTGTGTTCCTTTTCCAAAACTGGTAACAATTCAACTGAATTAGAAATTTTTGTGAAGTGCTCAGAGCATGCTGGAGTCTTACCATGCTTGGATATCGCTACAATAAATGTAATTTTTTTTGTTACCCAAGCATCTGAAATTGTGTTTTGTCAACTTCCATGAGACTCAGAATAAAAGAATTTGCCTATTGGTAAAAAAAAAGGAAAACAAGATGAGGAGAGAAAAAATACCTCTGGAAAAGACAGGGAGGCATTAAAAGACTAATAACTGGTAGTAAGTAATCTAAGTCAGTATGTAATAAAAATATGATTCTATTCGTTAATCATTAGCAACAGTGTATGTAAAATTGATCTTTGTCTATAAAACAGGATTCTGTCATAACAGGGATATAGTCTTGTGGGTCCTGGCGGTCCTGTTATAGTTAGGAACCACTGTACAGTCAGGCTTGGATAACTTAAAACACACTGAGGATTGACTAATTATGCATTTGGCATAATTCGGGTATTCTGTCAATGAACAATTAAAGAGATATCAGTTGGAGAATGGCTATTGTACGAGCTGTCCGTGATTTCAAGTTTTCCTTGTTCATTTTATGTACCCAGCTGTATTTAAATCCCTTTTGTGTTTGATTTTTTTTTTCAGATTTGCTTTGACAGGAACCTGTCTTTCAAGCTCAAGTTTGAGACATGTCTCACCAGCATGCTGCAAGTCCACAAGATGGACATCACTACAGCTATGCACCATATCAAGAACACGGGGCTGTTGGTAATTACCATCAGTACGCTCCACCAAATCCAAGAATGACTGTTCCCCCTCCTGGACACCCCAGTAGTGGACAGATTTTTTCTATGCCACCACCGCCATTACCCGGTGGCCATCACCCTCCTCCAATGAACAATAGTTTTAATTTTTCTCAACCACCGCCAGGACCACAGGCAGGAGTGCCTTTCAGGCCTCCTTTTTACAACCAACCACACTCGAGTAACGTTGTTGCTCCTTTCAATACTCAAGGGATGTACCCGTTAAACCATCCTCCACCTCCACCTCAACCAGCCATGAATCAACCACCTCCTGGGAATCCACCAGACTTTGTGATGCCAACTAACAATCTAAGCGTCCCTCCCCCTACCCCATTTCCCTCACCACTTGGTGGAGCCCCACAGATGCAGTCAAACTTAACGAGGCCTCCACCACCTTACAGTCAGGCAGCTGCAAATCGAAATTCAAGCATACAAAACTCTGGGACATCTCTGTCATTTCAAGCCCCCAGAGTGCCCTCGAATTCATCGTTAAGTCAGGGAAAATCTGTCAGCCGACCTCTTTCTAGAAAAGAAGTAGGGGCCAGAATGTTGGAAGAATGGGTCAAGCAGTCTTCAAAAAGCAGAAAGATACAGAAGAAGTCAGTATCCTTGAAAGGAGAGAATTCTATGAAGGTAGGACAGTAATTGAGTAACCCTAAGTTTCTTGTTGTGTCTTTTTAAAAATGTCTTAATCGATACCTTGTTTTGATAATTTGTTTCGTTATATTCAAATGTGCTTGTTGCTGAATGACACTGAATCTTCTAGAGTACGGAATGTAATATGAATGTGTTCTTATTTTTGCGAGTTTTGTTTTGGAATGGATTATAACTAAACTAAATGTTTTCTTCCTATAATCAACCAGAGTCTAGAGATCATGTTTGGTAATAAGAGAAGTGCTCAACTCTTGACATGATGTTGCAGATGCTTAATGTTTGATTCTTTTTTACATTCTTGTTATAAATGCCTGTACTTTTAGGTTTGGGAGCATGTTCAACATTTGGCAGAACTGAGGAGAGTGTTATCGAGCATGTCTGAGCACATCAGTGGAATGGAGCAGGTTGTGTGCGAGGCAGACAGCAGGACTTGGGAAGAAGCTTCAGGCAAAATAGAAGCTGAAAAGGTATGCTAGGGAATAAACTTTTGTATTCCTATAAGTGAAAAGATACACAGAAGGTTTCAGGGTTGCAGGGCAAAATAACAAAATATTTAGGATTTGCATTGTTTTAAGGTTGATCGAAAGTGAAATGGATTTATTTGGCTGAATACTTTCCTGTTTGATCTGGCCAAAACTGACAGAAAAAAATGCAGCCCTAGAGTTCAAACTGGTTGAAAATGGCTGGGCAAGCTACTTGTTTTTTTCCAATGGGGTTTCCTCAACGGTAAGCCTGGCTGTGATAAAAATGGATTTATGATGTGGCCTTGTTTTGATTTTTAGTGATGAAAGTTTGTCAGAGCCGAGGTCAGTAGTCTTAGTAATAATAATAAAAATATTTGCATATTTATAAAGTGCATTATATCCACATTCTACAGTATTCTCTATGGACTTTACAACTATTAGTCTTCTTCATCTATTCCCATTATCGATATAAAAATGTGAACACTCGAAGGCTGCTATGTGCGGGGGAAGCTGAACAAATGGGCTGCCATTGTTGGTGAAGAACATGAACAGGATAGAGTTAAGTTTCTTGACAATTGTATTAACACTGAAGTGTTGCACTATCATCATTATACAATAGGCTTCATTATTTTTACTGAGTTTCCATATTTCATGATTTCTGCATTTGAGGCTTTGTTGAAAGTTTCTTTGTTAAGAGGTGTCACTGTAAAAAAAACAATCCCAACCCAACTAAAATCACTGCCCCCTTACATGCACTCAAGTGGCCCATGTAAACTTGTGATCCAATTCCTATAAAATCTATATAATGTGTATTGCTTATTTGATGTAACATTATATATTTCAGGAAAAATTGAAAGACTTGCAGTTATATCTGGAGAAGCCGTTGGCGTGTGATATGATGGAGCGTTTAAAGGGAATGAGACTGAAAAGGGTAAGTGTTTATGAGTCAAGTCAGCTGCGAGTGAACCTTGATTCATGATTATTTAAATGTCTTGTTTAGAAAGTTAAAAGATAAACACATTTTGTTATGATTAAATTAAAAATTCCTATTATGTAACTGTGAGAAAAGCTCTTTTTTGTTTTTCTTTTTTATCTTTGAAATTGAGAAATAAAGCCATTTTTTTTCTTCTATTCCTGAAAACTTTTTAAAGCAAATTTGTTCATCTTGATGTACAGTGTTTTGGAATTTAGTGATAAAAAAAGACTTGTTTTTCCAAACAGTTGCATCGTTTAGTCATAGTCTTCATCAAATGAATAGGAACAAACGACATGTACATGTGCTTGTGTTAGAACTCTTGTTAACATATTTTATTAACTTAATGAGATTATTTTATGACATTTTCATTCATTCTCTTTCAGTTATTTGACTGGGCTATGGATTTGACTAGATTTCACGATTTTATATGAATGACCACTATGTCTTGCTGAAGTGCACCAAGGCATATCCTTTGCTTCTAATTTTTTTCTTCTGATGGTCTTCACATGATGTCTCATGTATCCTTTAATGTATGACGTTTTCTGATTATGACCTGTGTATGCTTTTATTATTATAAAAATGTGTATCTCATTTAGAAGACAAATGCTTATGTACGAAAATACTCTAAAAGGTTTGTCTTTTATAGGAAACTTAATTTGTAATGCACTCCATTATCGCCATGCTGATCAAAAGTGATTGTTTGCTTTTTCATTTTTTAAACAATACTGTCATGAGTGCTTCATATCTCATACCTTTTGAAATTATGAGTACACTCTTATTTCATTAATGTGTCTCTCAACTTTTAGATGAAACATGGGTTGACACTTGAGGGAAACTAGTTTGATTCTATATAACTTACTAAAGTTTTGTGCTCACCCTCATGTTTTTGACTGTACAAGCTGAAAATGTTGGCCATGAGGCTTACAAGAGACTGTGGCTGGAACCTGGCTTCATTGTGGTACCCCCCGCACGTATTTCCCCCTCAGAGGCAGGCATGAGCTATTACTTGAAATTTTACTGATATCTTTCACTATTTGTTATTATGCTTAAATGCTGTATTACCAAAAAAAATGTAGTGTGATACAAAATGTAATGTGCTACTTAATTATTTTCCCCAAATATGTTTGCGCCCATATATTTTAGCTATGAGAAAATATTTGCTCATGTTCAGCACAGATCTTGTTTAATCATATCTCCAGGCAAGGCTGAGAGAGGCAAGAAGGATGAAAAGTGAGCAGCTGCAGAGGCAGAGAGAGGAATGGGAAACAAAGAGCACAAAGATTGATCAATGGCAGGAAAAAGTAATGAAGCAGATAAAGGACAAGAGCATGGTATGTATCTGTTGAAGGATTGTCTTTCATTCATTTTTGTTTGCAAAGTAGTAATTTAAAGTCGCGATACCCCCCAAAATTATTTTTAAAAAATACACTTGGGGTTTTGTGGCAAATCAATGAATTCAGGGTTTATTATACTTTTTCCTCCCCTGTTTTCTAATATTAGACAATACTGTATGCAGTGAGTGAACATTTACTTTTTTTTTTTCCTAATGTGACCTGCAAAGGATTTTCCTTTTTTTTAATGTTAGATGTCGAAATTAAGTTTAAGATAATCAGTGCTGTTTAATCTTTTTAGACCATATAAGCATTTTGAATCTGAAGCAGACTCAGACCAAGACAATAGTCGAATGGATAGAAAAGAAGTAAGAGAAAACCTCTCTGATGTGCTTGCTTGCCACCTATATTGTGAGCTCACTCAGTTTGTTTTCTTTTTAAAATTTCTCTTGTCACAATGTCTTCAGGGAAGGACGAGTGACTTATTTGATTAATAAATTGTATAGAAGCATGTTTTCTTCTTTGAAAAGAAAAATTGCTTCTTTCCTGGGAGCATCAGTCCATATCCAGTTCCTTTTAGGGTTTGCCATACAATTTGATATCATGCGGATATCATACTTCTTCCATCAAAGGCAAAGCAGGAGGCTCCATTTATTGGTGGCTGGTTACCGGTGTACTTTCTGTTTATGTGCTGCTTTGTCATAGAAAGCAGAGGCTCTCATCTTCATTTAGAAGGGGGAATGTGATTTATTGTTGTAATAGACAAGGTGTTTTGGTACACATAAGCTAGACAGATATGAAAAGCCAAACGCATCATACTTTGGCCAGTAGGAAAATGGTCTCATATTTTGTTTGTCTCTCATTTTCAAAGAAAGAAAAAAGGAAAGCGGCTGCTGACCAGACCCTCAGTAAGGTGACCAAGGAGATCCAGGATGCCAACAGACTTGTGGAGACAATGACAGCACTGCAGAAACTCCGACTCATTCGACGAGATGCTGCTGTGAAAAGAGGTGACTATTTCGTCGCCTGAGTACAACAACCCTGTATCCCACAAAAACAAAATTTTACGAAAGGGAAAAACTTTGTCAATTCATCTAACAATGTTTACTAAAAATTAAAGTCTGAATGTTGCACAGGCAATGTTTATTTAACTACATGTGTAAAAATTTGACACAAAATCCGCAACATTACATTTAGTGGAAAAAGCAAAAAAAAAGTGTTTTTTTTACATAGTGTGGGTTACAGGGTTGTTGTGCTCAGGCGACGATTTAGTTTTAGTAAAAGTTTTACGGCACTTGCAACACAATTAGGACATGATACAAGTGCCGAAGATTAAAGATAATAAGATACATATTAAAGAAAGAGGAGAGATTTAATAAGGACAACAGATGTTTTATAGGAAAGAAGGAGTTACCAACTTCAGAACACCCACCAACCTCCCACTTGTACCGACTGCATGGCATGTTAAATGTTGCTTGGCTCTGTGTTGTAAGGGTTTGGTAGCTTAGGGCCCGCCATTAGCTCAGTTGCTGTCATGCAAAAATATAGTGATTTATGTCCCTACTGATATTCTTTTGAACTTGGTTGTAGTGAGTTTTCACGGCTCTTCACCCACTTATCTCTGTCCTATGGGAGATGGACAATAAATCTGAGGCTCCACCTTCAACCATTTACCCATCAGAGCCATTTACGTACACATGATTGCTGCTATCTCCAGAGTCATAGTCATAGATGAGTGCTGTATTGGGCATTTGTGCAACTGTTGTCTTCACTTTAGAATGTAGAGTTTTTCTGGTAATGTCTACCCAGTAACTGGGTTATCTGTAAAAAGTTGTATTTGTATTGACACTGAAATTCATATTCACCTGTGACTTTTCTCTGCAGGTGATACTGATCTCGGAGAATCTAGGCAAAGTTTTGAGCAGAAGATCACAGATATGACACGGCTTGTGAAAGCTCAGTTAGAGCATTACAAAGAAGAAGAATCAAGACTGAAGGTAAGTTTGATAGATTATGAAATATATGTCAAGCCCCTTTTGTTAACTCAGAGAAGTTGGCGCGTCTACTGGCTAGATGGTGTAATGAATTTCATATTGATGTGTTAAGAACATCTTTGCATTTATATCTAATAATTGAAATCGTGTTTTCTTTTTAAAGCTGACAGCCCATAGCTGGGATCAGGCATGTTTATTTGCTGCTCATCTTTTCATCTCTACTTCTGTCCGTCTTTCTCTCATATCTCGTGTAAAACAAGCAGTTGGATGTAGCCTCGTGAAACGAATTCTGGTAGTTATATTTTATATTACTTGACTCCTATTACTCTCAAGAACCCCCCCCCCCCCCCCCCCGAAACAAACAAGACTACATAGTACTAGAGTTTATGTTTGGAAGCTCCTAGTCCTGTTTCGGCTCCTCTCATAAATCAACATACAGGTATCTTATTGAACTTTTGTAGTGATTCGCTGTAATCTTTGGAGGGGGGTTGTAAACTTGAATGGGATCTGATTTTGGTATCAGATACGAAGCACAGTGCATGTGCTTCCCTTCCCTTCGTCCCTGCTGTATTCCTTCTTTGTTCATGAATCAGGGAAAATTGGCAAAATGACTCATCCCATTCTTTAGCTGTCGTAGTACCAGTAGCAGTTAAATTTTTACTCACAGGCAAAATATGAAGTTGGGTGTACCAGTACAAAATAATCCATTGGTCTAAAGGTTTTATTAAATCTCAGATTGTTTTAAAGTTTTGTTGTAGTTGTAGTGCGGAAAGAGCTTGGGGTTGGAGGGGAAGTTCTGCTTTAATTGATCAAGCCTTGGAGTTCTATACTATGATGCAGGCATTGTCTCTTTGCTTATGCTTATTGTTACTGCATGTTGCTTCTTCTCTTTTTTGTTTTATGCAGAGCATTATAAAGTCTGAGGCTGAGGAGAGTGACAGGAAGCGAGAAGAAATTGAAAAAGAGGTTGAGAGGTTGAAGCAGAGCGCTGAAGATTCTGAGCTGGAATCATTGTTATTTGGACCCCAAGGTAATGAAAAATATCTCACATATCATGTTGAGATGTGTTGTGACCTTGTAATTCTTTGGTCTGTTTTGATGATATGCAATGTGTTTGGTCTCACTGGAATTAACACAATTTTTGTTTGGCTGCATTGCATTTTGACTGGAGTTGGTTTGTCAAAGAATGGAATTTGGAGCAACAAGGCTAAATTTACAGCATATATTTCGAGATATTGGGTTCTCAAATTTTAATTCTTTTAGATTAATATCTGTTACAGAGGCAACAATTTTTGTGGGTTTTTTGCGCTCTTGTTTGTGTGTGCTGATTCTTAAGTTTTTGTTTTCTATTTTCTTGAATTACATCATAGGAAATTCTACAAATGAAGAATGGAGAAAGAAGTAACTAATTTTGGATTTCTAAAAGGGTGTTTTTTTGTTTTTTTTAGCTCTTTGGAGATGTCCAAGAGCTTTAGTGTCTGTGTCTCTGGTGAGTTGGTAATACTAAACCTGTAGAATATATGTCTTTTTTCAATAATGTTTCAACTTAGTTATTAGAGGAAAAGTGTTTGGAACTGGCTGTTTGAAATGAATTAGAAATAAACTACATCATTTTATTCCTCTTAATACACACATGCATTATGAACTTGCCTCAGGTTAAGATTTTGTTTTTTCCTTTTGGTGAAAACAGGTGACACTCCGGAAGCAGACCCGCTGTATCCATTTGTTCAGTTTTACAAACAAGCTGAACATAGTTTACAAGCATTTCTGCAGATAAGGTTAGTTTTGTATACTTTTAGATTAACAGTTAATAACACTCTCTTTAAAGTCACGAAACAATTTTGTTTGCTCTATTGTTTCAATTTCTGTGTGCAGGATACTCATTAGTCTTAATTCTTTTGATACACTAGGGATTCAACAAGTTTACGCTATATTCATTAAAATATTGGTGGATTTGTTCCTGTGAGCACTCAAACCATTTGTAGAAAGGACGGTAAATGTAGCAGTAGCAGGGGATCAGGTGTAGATCTTGGGGATGGCGAAACCCCTTAAAACAACACTTCAGTGACAAGCCGGATTCAAAGAGTTGAGGTAAAGTGCTTTCCTCTCATGTTCAAATTTTTGGTCACTTCTCAGTTCAGGCCTGCAGGGCTGGTTGGGAAAATGGCTTGATTTATGAGTCTGTTGAATCATTTGTTGAAAATAATAATAATGTAATAATAATAATTGCATTTATATAGCACATATCCATGCTCAAGAGCATGCTCTATGCGCTTTACAACTATTATATTACCCCAGCAGACCCTCTGAGAACACTCAGAAACATTCTCGGCTTCCGCGGAAGCATACAGTGCAAAGTGCCTTTCCCAAGGACACTACGTCGGGCCCCTGATGGGATTCGAACCCACAACCTTACGGTTACGAGTCCAAGAGCCTAACCACTAGGCCACCGACGCCATGCCGAAAAGCCCACAGTCGATATTCCCTGAGATTGAGATCTTGTAGGGGAGTTCGGGAAATATGTCATTCAGTGTCTAATAATGCGCTATAATGAGAGACAATTGGAAGTGCCTGCTATTTTTCTCCTCGTCTTTGGTTACATGTTATATTTAGGCCTACTGAATTGAGCAAACTATCATAACTCAAGGGACCCACAAATGGCAAAATGCCACAGAAGCTTGTGTTTTCTTACAATGGAAATAGTATTTGGCTAGCCGGAGAGTAAGAGGCTGTGATGTGATTGTGTGTGTCTGGTGTCAAATGGTCGTGTAGAACAACCTCTTTGAATACTTTGATGTCTCTAGAGTTATTTTTTCTTACTGCGGCTAGCAAAACAATAATTATTATACAACATTTTGTCAAGATCTAGTAGAAGTGTGCCGGTGCTGGCTGAAGGCTCTTATTCTTAGTTAATCAAGGGCTGTTAATAAAATGTCTTGCCCTAGCATGTGCCCCAATAACTGCCCAGATGTCCTGTGCTTGTACTCCTCAATGACAGCCCAGCTGTCTTGTACACCCTAGTAGTAATAATCGCTCAGCTGTCTTGAAGCCTGCACCTCAATTACAGCACTGCTGTTTTGTACTTCTCAATAACCACCCAGCTGGCTTGTACACCCCAATAACTAACAGTAACAACCCTGCTGTTTTGTACACCCCAATGACAGCCCAGTTGATTTGCACTCCCCAATAACAGTAGCAGCCCAGCTGTCTCGTACACCCCAGTGTCAGTCTAGCTGTGTTCATTGCCCACTCGGTCACTGGGTTCTCCCTTGAAGCAAAAAGACAAAGAGAGTTATGGAACAGGACACGTTTTCATAGTTTTGGGATACCTTTAGGTAGCACTTATAGTACTAGTCCTTGTCCGTCACTGTCAGCAGTTGTGTGAGATTAGGCTAATGTTATTCCAGGGCTGCCAACCAAATCCGATTTTTGCGCAATCATTACGATTTTTTAGCCTCACTAGGAAATTCCTATCGTAAGGCGACTTATTACGATTTTTACAGTCAGCAGATTTTTGGCTATAAAAAAAGTATATTTTTGGCTCTTTTTTTATTTTACAAGACTAAGTGCAGACGTGTTAAAGCAGAACTTTGGCCTTCACATTTATTTAATTTTCGATAAGCCGTATTTTCTGTTATTAAGACATATTTTTGTTCATTGTAATATAATACAGTAATTTGAAAATGAGAGCACTATTACTAATTTTTGGGGGAAATGACTAATTTTCTTCACGGCCATTACTAAAAACCATAGGGATGGGTTGGCAGCCCTGACATTCCCTTGAAGACCCCTTGCATTTTATTTTAAATCCACAACGTGCGTGGCGTCGGTGGCCTAGTGGTTAGGCTCTCGGACTCGCAACCGTACGGTCGTGGGTTCGAATCCCGTCAAGGGTCCGACGTTGTGTCCTTGGGAAAGGCACTTTACACGAATTTTCCTCACTTCACCCAGGTGGGAATGGGTACCCGGCTATAGACAGCGAAAGATCTTGTCAGTTTGTTAGTGTTTGAGTGCTTAATCGGCTGCTCGCACTGTATGCTTCCCGGGAAGCTGAGAATGTTTCTGAGTGTTCTATGGTCTGCTGGGGTAATAATATAGTGTAAAGTGCATAGAGCCTGCTGCTGAGCGGGGATATGCGCTATACAAATGCTATCTATTATTATTATTATTATTAATGCAGAGCAAATTTTAAGGTCAGCATGAATGAGAACCTCTTTGCAGAGATTTTAAAAATAAAGCTCTCTGTTCTATTTTTATACAATGCTGTACTTTTTTTTCTTTTCTTTTTTCATCTGACACTGTTTTTTTCCCCTTTTTCTTTACAGATATGAATGGGATTTGTTTTTGGTACCGGAAAATTCATCTGGAGGATCTTCGATTCCAGGCTCTTGGGTCATGCCTGAAGGGCCAAGCTCTAGCATATGGGCCAGTGCCCAAGTGTAACTGACATGTTGTTCATGCTGTCTTCACTCATACAGAAGGCTGGCAGCTGATGTTTTTGTACCTTTTCTCAGAATACAAAATTATATGCACTCTGAATATATGCATTTTGAATTTTGGTCTTTTCTCTTCAAATTTATCCATAGTACAGTCGGGCCTCAATAACTCAAACACATCAGGGATTGACAAATTTATGTGTTCGACACATCCATAATTCGGGTAAACAAGCAAAAAATTTGAGAGATATTAGTTGAGGAATGACAAATTGTATGAGTTATCCGAGTTATCACAAGTTTTTTTTTGTGTTTTTGCTATCTGTGTCCGACTGTATGTGTTCAATGAACTACATTTCTAGTGAGTTTCTGTGGTTTGTACTTCAATTTCTGTGGAAACTGAGGTTTCAGCAAAACAGTGTCTAACCAACATGACTATTGTAAATTGATAATGAAAGCCCTGGGAAATTTATCCTAAATATTTTGGGTTGCAAATCTGTATTTTTAACAAATATTCAGCTGTGTTATATCCCTTTTCAATTTCCCGGATCAACTGTAGTTTGGTTGGCATCCATCTTCATTATAAATGAATATGTGTCACAACGCAGTGGAATCAGGCGCTCGTCAGTTTTTGGGCATTTTGAGTTATTGGTAAAATCTAAAAGCTTATTCATTTTCCTTGCTTTTAATGAAATAAAAACCCCCATCTAGATCTATCTTGAATAGAAGTTGAAATACTTGTGATTGAAGAGGGTGGGGTCTCCTGGTTTCAGTGGTAAAATTAGCGAGAAAATGGCTGCCAAAGTTCAGTAACTTCAATAGCTAGAGAATCCTAGAAAACTGAAAAGTTATAATTATAATATGTTTTGTGTCTTTAATCGCTTTTCAGTAACATTCCCATGCAAATGTGTTTTTATACGGACATTAAAATAAAAGGTGTTGAACCAAAAAATATTCTATAAAAGAGTCCGTTTAAAGTGAAATCTGCAGGATCGCCAGATTGTCTTCAGTTAAGTAGGGATTTCGTGTTTAAAAAGTTCGAATAGTAAAACAAAATTGGGGATTTTCTTTTCTTGCGGTGTATCGCTGTTTTTGGATTAACTGTGTTTGATTGTAGGTTTTGGTACGGCACTTTCAACATAATAAGGTCATATAAGTGCTGAAGATTAGAGGTGTTACAAGAGAGTAGCAAACACAAAAAAGGAGGAGAGATCAGGACAATAGATGTTTGATAGGAAAGAAGGAGCGAACCACACAAAAGCATCTGCCGACCACCAATGTGTTTGGTTTAAGCGAACTTCACCCTGTACATGGTGGGAAGTATGAATACAGTACTTTCATCCTTCACAGGCACGACACCTCCTTCTGCCTCATTCCATGCTACATTTTAACCAAGAATATACCATGGATAGGTCGAACACAGAAGACTCAAAATCAAGCCTCCGTCGAACTGTGCCTGCGGTCCCATTTTTTTCCTTCTTTATCTTTGTAAAAAAATTATGTGAAGCTCAAACAAAAACTCGAAATAGTTGAACGAATTATGTCATCATATACATCTAAATTTGAGTAAAGTCAATGTCCTTTGAGGCGCACTTGGGACAAAAAAATATATTTTAACAATAACCCCCCCCCCCCCTCCAGAACAAGCAAGGTCGCCAGTAGGTAAAATGCTTCTTTCCCCCCTCCACAGAAGCAGCTAGCTGTGCTGTGTTTGGCGTGCTGTTTGATATGCGTGCCCAGGCCCTAGGCCTAGCTAGGCTTGTGTGGAGCGGGCAAGAGGAAGGGTTGTGCATCACACGATTGGCTGCCTCACCATTCTTCGCAAAGAACTGCGAGCTTGGTGAGGGGAGGCGGGGTAGGGCTGCATTGTTTGGTCATCACGTTGTTGATTACCGTTACGATATATGCTTATCCTATCAAATTGTTTATATTTTGAAAAATTTGAAAAGGCATTGTTTGAATGGTGCAGACTAAAGACCGCTCACACTGACCCGTGCAATTAAACTGCCTTGGGTACCAGGAGGCTCATTACAGATTGAACTCAAAAGCATTGCGTATCCTTGTTTTGCCCCAAAAGTAGCAATCTTTGTTGCTTCCCTTGATTCTCTGTCGGACACAGCCAATGCCACAACACTGTTCATGTATCCTCGAACTTCCCCCAGGTCGGTCCGGACGAATTCGAGCTTTCCGTGTAATACTGTATCATGTGTTCCTCACTGGCTGAGCCAGATGAGAAGTGAGCTCGCTTAGGCACACTCTCCATGTAGCAAATGGAACTCCCAGAAATCCCATTGCCTCTTTGCTTTATGGCTCATTTTCATTTTGTTTCAGTAAGAGCTTTTATGGCACTTGCAACACAATCAAGTAGTGGCGCAGATTATAGATGTTACAAGAGAGTAACGTTAGACCCGCCCAAAAATGAGGAGTCATTGCTGGTCACAAAGTCTTTGGAGCGTATAAAGTAATTGGCGGATTTGCCCTGCGGCAAACGCATTCACTAAACTCCCTTGTAAAAAACACAAAAAAGGAGTGAGATAAGGAAGATCAGATGTTTGATAAGAGGCCATTTAAAAAACATGTGTGTGGATTTTACTGCAAAATGACTAAAGGCACAAGAAATGTAAATTTGCAATTCCCAAGGACTCTCAAGCTTCGGGGGTCACCAAGTTTTAGTATGAGTAAAAGTTTTACGGCACTTGCAACACAATAAGGTTATATAAGTGCCGAAGATTAGAGGTGTTACAAGAGAGTAACAAACAGAAAAAAGGAGGAGAGATAAGGACAATAGGTGTTTTGATAGGAAAGGAGCAAACCACACCAGAGCACCCGCCAACTATCCACAAGGTCACCAAATTTTGGTGGCCATTTTCTCACTAATGACACCAGGCAACCCCTTCCCCTCCTTCAATTTGGGAACATTAGCAGCACGGACACCCAAGTAGATGCAACAGAGAGTTGAGAAAGTAGAGACAGGACCTGCCAATGGTGTCCTCTTCTGACTGGGAGCCTTTAAAAAAGGTAGTCTAGACAAGGACATTTTTGTTTGGAAATAGCAAAAAGGTTATTTTTTGGGGAGCTTTTTTTGAGTAAGGGTTTCATGGCACTTGCAACACAATTAGGTCATATAAGTGCCGACGAAGAGAGTAACACAAAAAAGTAGTAGAGGTAATATAAGAACGAAAGAAGTTTGATAGGATTATGAAAGAAGAAGCAAACCACACCAGAGCATCCAGTACCAACCACTTCTGGTTTTACGGCACTTGCGACATGATTAGGTCACATAAGTGCCGAATGTTACAGACATTACAAATAACAATAGAGTAACAAACGCACAAAAAAGGAGGTGTTTGATAAGAAAGGAGCTAACCACACAAAAGCATCCGCCAACCACTCACAAGACAAATAGCACTTGGGAGCAATTTATGGGAAACCTTGCCAAAGCAGTAAAGGTTGAATGACACCCTGTCTTCATCTTCCAAGTTCAAAGATGGGTGAAGAGCACACCGTTCACTGCAGGTTCTAGAATTGACGTATTGACGGTTTGTTTCCATGTGCTACGTACTGAAGTCAAGTTGAGCAGGGAATATTGGGAATGAAAGATTCTCTATATCATGGAATTTATCTTCTACTTCTACATTCAGAACTTCTTGAAATATTCAAGTATACAGCATGCTCAAATGAAGGTGCAGTACAAACTACTTTCTTTTTCTTCATCACGACTAGCTTAGGAAATCTAAACTTGGACTATGAATATGAAGTAGGCTCTATGAAGTAGCGGTTGGAGGCAAGACATGAAATACATAGCAAATAAGGACTGATTTTGGTTTTGGTTTTAGTAGACGTATTACGGCGCTTGCAACACAACAAGGTCATATAAGTGCCGAAGATTAGAGGTGCTACAAGAGAGTAACAAACATAAAAAAGGAAGGGAGATAAGGATGATAGTTGTTTGGTGATAGGCAAGAAGTCAAGAAGGAGCAAACCACAACAAAAGGACTGAACTTAAAAGCAAAAATAGAAGAAAAAAAAGAAGAGGAAAACGCCAGTTCATATTGTGTATATTTATTTTGGCTTATTTAAAATGGGCTGCAACATTAAAATAGTGTCTTGAAACATACAAAAGCTCTGTACAAAAATCACCAGTTCTTTACCTCAACCTCAAAATCCATGCATTTATAACAACATATGTGAAAAGTAAGTTTTCATGAGCAAAGACAAATCAAATAACCTGAACTGCTTCATCAACACCACAAACACACAGCTCAAGCAGCACTTCAAAATGAGATGCAAGTGGAAAACTATGATTATTAAGGGTCCACTTCTGTTACTTGAAAAAAAAAGAGTTCTCTAATAATAGCCTACTTATTAAAAAAAAGAAAAAGGTAAAACCTACGTAAGCCCCATGTAGCCAAAAATAGGCCTACTCCCTGATGACAAAAAGGAGATCAACTCGAACAAAAAAAAAAAAAAAAAAAAAAGAATTTTTTTACCTTTAACTTCGATCAAAATCCAAAAATATAAACGAAACTTTAATTATAAGTTAAAAAATACACTTCTGAAGTCATTATTTCAAATGCTTAAATTATTAATGAAACTTCAAATTTATGTCATCCAAGTAGCCTACACTTCTGAAGTCATACATTTTGATTTTAACAACATCCATGACTAATCTTCTGGACTACAGCCAGGCCGACTCATTTCTCATTTTGAACTGTTGCCTATCATTCATTATATGGAGAGCAGAAGTATGAATCGAGCCCACTTCAACGGAGCAGTCGCCTCTCAAAGAGAACTACATGCTTATGACTACTATGATGAATGCCGATTCATCCTACAGGCTAAATATTCAGCAAAAAATAATCTTCTGCATCCAGGAGAGGGAACGCAAGCACAGAACAATACTGTCACTGTCATGGAGTTGGAGAGAAGTCAGAAAGATGATGAAGCACAGACAGGAAAGTTTTTCCATAACCTTTGTAAACCCCGAGGTACCCATACAAAGATTACACTCACATGACAGACAGAAAGAAAAGAATGTTACCTCATACTTTGTAAAAAGCATAAGTTATATAACTTTTGGGAACAACAACTAAAAGATGAGAGCTACTCATTTATAAATACGAAGATGCTATAATTCTACAAGACAGACAAGATAATACTTCTGTATAATACGTAAAAATCAAGTTAAGACTGATACAGAATAGTAAATAGGTATTAATAGCTTCTAAAAGTTAAAAGAGACACATTGACAAAACCAACAGCGTCAAGGCAGGACAGAAAGAAAAGCGACAGAAGGACAGACGAAAGAAAAGGAACCCATCAGCAACTCCCTGGAACCAGCAATGAAAAATGTGCCCTACCATAAAAACTGCCCAGAGTCCTTAACTACCGGAAACGAGGTAATCAAAAAGCCTGAAATCTGCAAGACTGACTGACAGAAGACAAAGATGAGTATGGCTTGGAACAAAACTCTCCTTCCAGGAGTGACCCGCCAAAGAAGTGTATGAACCCTATGTCCTACACAGAGGGGGGACGAACCCATGAAATGATGGTGGCTGATTGTAAAGGACAAACTGGTACCAGGCATAACCTCTCCTCTCAGAGGCCTACCACTACCACTTCTATAACACAGATCATTATCCTGAAAGTGAAGTCTTGGTACTAAATAATTATTTTAGTTCAAGAGTCTTTATGGCACTTGCAACACAAATACGTCTCACAAATGTCAAAGATAAGAGGTGTTGATTGATTGAGTAGGTGTTTTACGGCACTATCTACCCAATTCTGGTTTCCAGAGACAAACACACAAAGAAAAGAAGGAGGAGAGATAAGGACGATAGATGTGTGAAAAGAAAGAAGGAACAGGCCATACCAGAGCACCCACCAACTACCCACTTGATATTTCTAATTGTATGTTTTTGAGAAGAAAAAAATCCAGTAATAAACCAGGTACAAAAGTTGGCTTAGAACCAGGAAGACTGGCTGAGAGCGAAAAAAATAATAAATTAACTTTTACAATAAAATACATTTCATTCGACACTCACAATTCTATATACATAGGTACACTTTTACCAGATCACATGCTTCAACATATTCTTAAATTTTATAATGTGATAGTAACGAATCTTGTAAAACATGTCAAAAATGGGGGGGCTTTAACAAAAATTCATAGGAGAAATTTCCCATTTAAAAGTTATTTATTTTACAGATGGTTGAAAAGGCACATCATGTTATTCAAATCATCTGGAGATACTCTGGACCGGAACAAAGCCAGGCAAACTTGTCATAAAAAAAAAAGCCTGGCCTCTTTTTCAAGAGCTCACCTCTAACATGACACAACTACCAAAACTGGCAACTACTACACATAAAAATACTAAAAAAGATCCCATCAACCAGGTGCAAAAGGCTTCCAGTGATAATCAGTAGCCCTTGCAGAGGATCCTTCATTCATCACAGTCTCACAAACAAACAGGTCTTGACATATTGACTAGGAATCTCTGTCCCCACTGTTGGCAAACTCAAGGAGGGTCTTCGACTTCAGCTGCGGAATGACTGCGATCTTCATGAATTTTGAACTGGAGTACTTTGTTCTAACAGCCTGTAAAAGAAAGCAGAAAAAAAAATAGTATCAAAACAATGGGAAAATGGAGAAACGTTTGAGTAAATAGAAGCACATCAACACAATAATAGCCATTTCAAGCTGGGAAAAAATTAAACAGACGATAGAGAAGCAACAGTGGGAAAGTAAAGAAAAAGGAGCTACCAGTAGTGCCTTCCAACCCACATAGTAGATGTAGAAAGACCAAGTTAAAATGCAGTTGACAGAAAAACTACAATGAAGATGCCACATGTTTAGACACCTGGAGCAGACTGCACAACCTGATTTGTTTCCCCACCTCGCCCACCAGGGATGAAGGAGCTCGAATTCTTGCCCTTGCAAACGGATGAAGACAGCGTTTCATATGCCCTGCACTAGGGAACACCACTTGGCAGATAGCTAAAAGTAGCAACATCGCACAACTGCTGTATCAATAAGGACAGCAACAAAATAAAGTTCTATTCACAGCCACAGAAGCCTTCAATTCCGTACACATTTCAGCAAAAGAGAGCGCTTTAGGAAATCTGAGAGAATCCCTACTACACCATTTAGCCATTAACTCACCATAAGCAAAAAAACCCAAATCAAACCGTATAATAATATGAACATCTGCATGTCCAGGACCAGAGTAAAACTGTCCCGTGGTTTTATGCACCCCGCACAATTTGATCATTTAAAAAATAATTTCTGATTATTTTCCTTTTATCATTTTTGGTTAGAATTAAGAGAATCGCATAATTTCACATTTTTGGGCTCAGTTTGCAGAATTTTTCTTGCATAAAACGACGGGGACAGGTAAACAAAGATCCCTCACCCCCAAAAACCCGTCAACCTCTCTAATTTAAAATTATACAGCAAAATATATATTTCAGACCATACAATTACAGATAGATCTAGGATTTGAAGAATGTAATTTATTTTTTAAAAACTCCATCAAAAACCACTTAAAAAATGAAGAAGTTAAAAGCCACTAAATAGTCTATACCCCCCCCCCCCCCCCAAAAAAAAAAATCACACATGGGTTTGAGCTTGTACCCAACACACCAAGCAACTTACCACAAGTTTGTGTGACTCTGCCTTCACCACAAGCTGTGCCAGCTTCCTCGCCAATGGCACCAACTCTTCTTCCGAATAGGCACTGTAGTAGCGAAGAGTCTCCGTCTTGAGAAGAACAGAAAATGATTGTCAATTTAACATCAGACTGCGACATGTAAAAACAACAAATTTAGCAACAGCACATTTTTTTTCCACACATGAAGCTAGCACCTTGTACTTATTTTTTTAAAAAAGAGACTGAAAACTTTTCGCTTTGAAGTCAAATCAGCTGTTTGCCATGCTGTGGACTCAAAGACCATTAAAAAAAACAACACAAAACTATTGTAGCCCTTTTCTTAGCAAGAACATTTGCCAATAAGTCATGTTTCCCTACCCAAGTACATTCTGGAACTTACAAGCTATAATTTGTATGCTGGGGCATAAAAGAGGAAAGTGGCACTTATTCGATCACTGTGAAATTCCTCTCAGTCTACAGCAGATCAGTTTTTCCCTCGGAACCATTTTCACCGACCACTTGCGCACCAGTTCCCTGTAAACTACTACCCCACCCTCTCACAGGTAAAGAGCTCTCCCGTACAATTTGTCTTTGTAGAAGTACTTGGCTGAGCAAATTCTTAATTTTCATCCTGGTCCCTATCATCCGAATGGGAATCTCAATCTTACTTTCAATAGCTTATCCTCCACTATCAATATCTAGAATAAGCTCACTCAACAAATCTCATCTGTGTAGGATCTCTAATATTATTGGTCATACTATTACTAAATGGATAAACACTTACCCATCGGGATCCATCTAACACAGCCATAGCCAAGTACAATGAGGCACCAGCGATGTGAGAGGGTTTGAGGTGGGCCATGTCATACTCAATCATCGACAGCTCCATGAGATATTTTGCAAGAGTGTGTTTTGTTGCATCAACCTGTTTCAAGTAAAAACAATAGTCATTTCATAGAGATATCTCAGCTGTAATGCAGAAGCAAATTATAACTGGGCTGAAGCTCAAAATTTCCTGCCGCTCCAAACCAAATTCAAGGCAATGGTAGTACAAGAGCTGAGAATCTGTTCCAGCTAGTACTTTCAAAAAGCTAAATTGTTCGATTTACTTTTTTTAAAACAGTGAACCCAGTTTGCTCAGTAAAAAAAAAGTTAGGAGAAAAGAGATGACATTAACTCAATAATGGTTATTTTATGCAGTTTAGTTTAGCTAGAGATGAACAGCACTTGCAACACAATTATTAGGTCTCTTAAGTGCCAAAGATCAGAGGTGTTGAAGATAGTAGCATACAAAGAAAAGAAAGAGAAGGGATAACAACGACAGATGATTGATTGGAAAGAAGGAGTAAACCACAGCACAGCACTCCCCAACCAATTCCTTTAATTCATTTAAAAAAGGGAAGATGGAAAGACAGAAACAACGCAGGATAATAGTAGTACATGTATTGTGTTTTCAGTTTTTAGCATAGACAAGTGTTATTGGCAAAGTGGAAATTAAACTCTCTCTATTCTCTATAATATATGATAATGACATTAAGCAACCTCAAACACACATAAGAGACAACTCCTGATCAAGCATGTCCTGTTTCTTTCAGTTTCAGTTCAGTTAGCAGCTGTTCTGATGAAGCCCCAAATGTTTAATTTCTTCAAATTTGCAGTCAGTGGCATAAGTCGCATGTGCTCAAGAAAATATTGTCTTACTTCAACTTCTGAGAGTTGAAAAAGGCAAGACAGACACATGAGCTAAATTTGCTTTCTGGGCTTATTACATTTGAACAGCTCCCCGACAAAATATTAACGAGAAAAGTACTTGCCTGGCCAGCTTTTGAGTTTCTCCTCAAGAAATGAAGACACAGGGGCCTGCCAAAACTGAAATCCAGCGTTCGCAATATGTCTTGCTCCATGTCTCGTACATCATGTTTTGTATAGGCATTGTCTGTTATGTACACAAAATCTGCCACTTCAGGAGCATACATCTCCTCGTATTTGCTGGCAATCAACATTGCTGTTACTCCAACCAGTTGAAGGCGGTTCTTCGAACATGGTTTTACCTGACGAGACAAAGCAGCCACACGTGAGTGCAGGGTGGAAACAAAAGAACAGACCGCGACTAAATTAAATACAAGTTAAAGGTCATTTTTGTTTATGTGGGAGTTTTACGGCAATTATAACACAACTTGGTCATATAAAATTTATGCCGAAGATTAGAGCTGGTACAAGAGAGCAACAAACATAAAAAAGGAGGAGGGAGAAGGATGAGAGATGATTGATAGGAAAGAAGTTTGCAGACTGCATTTTAGGGGTTTTACTTTTTCCTGTTCTTGTCAGAAAGAGCAGAGCACAAGAGAGACAACAAACATAAATAGCTGAGAAATAGGATATTATAAGACTGTCACCAACAAACCAGGCCTGAAACAAGGCACCTCAAATTACCTGGAGATATCTGTCAATTATAGCAACAGTGAGGTAGAGAGTTTCTTGCAACAAGTGAAATCTGTTGTGTACTTGACATAACCAGTCAATCAATATGGCTCGCATCTTTCCCGTCAGCTCAGATCCTTCGAGAAATTTCACCCGTATACAGTATTTCCTCTGGGGAAAACAAATTAATAGACATACTTTCATTCACACTCAATTTCAAAGGAGGGACTACTACACAAATATATCAAATAAAAAATTATCTAAACCCTAAACAGAGTTGAACAACATTTGGGAACAACTGGGGCACCATACCCTCACTTGACAAAGCAGAAGAATCCAGTTTTACTTTCATAAACAAACAAGGACACAAAACCTCTACAGCGTTTGTTCCACAAACTGACATACAAATTGACTTTCCAGCCACTGACAGACATATACTCTTCCAACCCGCACATTAAGACATAAATGTTGATTTGTGAGGTGTGCTGGCAAAATTGGTTACTTCTCGTAATCCACAATTGGAGATATTGGCCAAATATCGACACTTGGGTCAAATTTGTAGATTTTCTATTACTATTAATGCCACATTCTTCAAGTATAACATTCCTTTTATTATTTCATATTCACAAATTATAAAATCTTCACCTATAAGCGTGATGTACCTACTTGAATAGGGCTCGAATCCGAGAAGTAACTCATTTTGTCAGCACACCTCACATTTGCTTAATGCCAGATGTCTATCTATGCTCACGGATATATAACCATAAAATTATAAAGCAAGGTGGCAACCACAATTCTCCATATGATTATATGACAAGATACTTTAAGCCAAACCCTGACAAGACCAATACGGATGAGTTCCCCTCCTTGCAACAGCAAAAAAAGAAAAAAAAAAGAGCTCAGAACATACAACAAACTACTCTTATCCAATACATACAGCAATCTTCTAATCTATATTACACAAGAATTTACCTCTGTTCTCTTACAAAATGCACAGCGTCATAAAAAATCTCAAAGAATATCAGACCTGAAGATTTACACAGGTTCAAAACAGTTTCCCTAGCAGTTTTCATTCTTACACTTTAATAGGTGTTACCTCAAGTTGCCTCATGTAAGAATAAATGGGGTTGACGTAGAGGCTGACAAGCTGAGGATTTCCTGCATCTTCTGCATCAATGTCTTCTATGTGCTCTTTGAAAATTGCTTTGGAAAATGCATCAGAACCATCATCACTGACATCCATGGGGGCTGCCTGGCTCATAGCATCAAACAGAGCGACATCGCCCTCTGCAATTCGTGACGCACTCGGAAGGAGATTGTGCCCTGGCATCCATTCCACTTTGACAGGCCCCCCTTCCTGAAAAGCAGAGACAAAAAGGCTGTGATATGTGACCAATATTAACATTTGATAGCGGGTAAAGAGAAGCATACAGGACTGATAATTTAGTTTAGTTTAGTAAAGAGTTTTACGGCACTTGCAACACAATAAGGTCATATAAGTTCCAAAGATTAGAGGTGTTACAAGAGAGTAACAACAAACGTAAAAAAGAAGGAGGAGAGATAAGGACGATAGATGTTTAAGAGGAAAGAAGGAGCAAACCACACCAGAGCACCCGCCAACCACCCACCCATTGACTGATAATTTACAGAAAGCGAAAAATCAGGAAAGATAGAAACAGCATGGAGGAGAAGGATCTATGAGTGTCATCCCCGATAACCTTACAACATATAAGAAAATAGCCTTACACAATAAGAAATGATGAGGACGAAGCAAATGTTAAATGTAAGAAGACCAAAATGTTGGAACTCCAATCTGCAATTAATGCTGATAGGTAGTAACTAATTTGCACAGATGTCCATTCACATAAAATTTGCAGGCATGAATAATCCCTGTCGTCAGTAATGGTTCAAAGAAAAGGCCCCGAAAAAGCTTTCTTTCAAAATATGATGATGCAAACCAGGGAAAAGACAGGGCCTATTTATTTGTTTTACTGATCTTGGACAGCTAAGAAAGGTTTTTCCTGTACAATAGAGTGAACTTATAAGTGTGACAATTTGACTGACAATGCTTAAGGACCTTACATTTAAATGTTAAAAAGAATTTTAAACTCTAATACCAATTCAATTGAAACTTCTTTTGCAAAGGAACAATAGACCTACTTTTACATAGACTGACAGTACAGAAAAGGCATCCTGCGAGTACAAAAATCTCAGGTAAAAGTGGAAAATAAACATATTTTGACTCGCAAAGGAAATAATCGAGGAAAATTTTTTATTACTCACATCACCAGCAAATGTCTTCTGTTTCATAAATGCTGGTCCACCAAATTCATGCTTGCTGGGTGGCACTTCTTTTGACGATGCAGTTGAAGAGACAGACGATGAGACACGAAGTTTGGCACTCCTTGCACGTGTGAGAATGCTGTCTGTTGGTTGCAGAATTTCCTTCTTTATTGCACCTCCTTTTGATGTGTCGATTGTGATTGCGGACACCCTATTCCCAATTTCACCCAGTGTCAACCTCGATAGACCCTGTTCCGTTGTCATTTTTGCTTTTCTGAAGTTTAATTCTTGATTATAATCCATTTCTGATGGCATGGCGTTGAAATTCGTGTCCTGTAAACAAAAGTAAAAAACATAATAATAAAAATTAAGCACATAGACTAAACTATTTTATAATAGTAAACTAAAACAGTCTTGGAACAATTATGGATTAAATTACAAAGAACTCAGTGCAGTTAATTTAATGTCAAACTTGCTATAATATCAATTTTTATTATATTAAAACTGTTCTCAGAGTCAGAATTAATGTCAACAACATGATTTGACTTTTCAAATATCAAATTCTACTTTACAAGAACTAGAATAATATTTTCTTTTGAGACCAGAAAATAGTACTTTTCATTACTTAAACCAAGATACAGTTGAACCTTATGCAGAAGCCACCTACACTGTGTACATGATACAATCATCCTGTACAAACAGTCACATGTTCCCAAAAGTTTTTTCTATATGTCCTGTCCAACATTGATGATAGCTGCTGTCACTATACTCTACCATCAAACAGCCCATAAAACCTGCCATGAACTGATGAAAGAGAGATACAAAAGGCCAGACACTACACTAGACAATCAGAGCTTCTTGGCGTTACATCATTAAATTCCTGGTATCGGTACCAGTACTGAAGTCTTTTTTAGTTTTTGTATGAGTTTTCCGGAGCTCGCAACTGCATAAAAGGACATATGAGAGCGTGAAACACAAGTTTGTTGCATTCACAACAATTCACTGCACGACTAGGCTCAGCTCAACAACCAGATTTAAAAATTGTTAAAAATATTAGAGGTAAATAAGTTCTTTGTTTAGAAATATCGTTTAAATAACATATAAACATTTTTTAATAGCATTTTATTCACAACTTCCCATAAAGGCCAACGGACTTCATAAAATCCAGAATCCAGAATTCTGTTGGGATCAACGACCGAATACATCTAGCAATTTTTTGCATCTAAAATATTTCCTTCGGATCTCTCCGAAGTATAGACATTCGGTTAAAATGTGTCTAATGGTAAAATCTGTGTGGCATCCGACACAGAACGGCTTCTAATCTCCCTAATGGAGATATTTATGTGTTAGGGCTGTGTGTCCGATGCGTAATCGAGTAAAAATGACTTCGTCTCTTCTGGAGAGGCCCGAAAGATTTCGTGGTCCCAGTTTGGGCTTAATGTTGTAAAGTTTATTGTTTGTTTTTTCCAATGAGTCTCCCACAGACTGGAGGTGTAGTTTTTTACATTTTATTTTTAAAGTCAGTCTGTGGGAGAGTGTTCGTTGTTGATCCCAACAGAGGGATTCCTTCGCCAGGCGATCTACCTGCTCGTTTCCTCGGATGCCCACATGGCTAGAGGTAGCCATGCGAACACGATACTTTTCCCGGTTTCAGTCAAGGCGTGTATTTTTTGTTTTTGAGGTCCCCAAGGACTCTGAGACCCAAGGGTTTGATGAGTTTTTCGATGTTTTGAAATTTTTGTTTATGGTGTCTGGGTTTGTTTTGAAAATGCAGTTGTGTGCTGGGTTTTCTGAAGTCTAATCGAACTGGAGTCTGAATAGAGCTGGCCTGCTTTGTCAAATATTTACTTCCAGACCCGCACGCAGATGCACTGTAGTATTGGGGGGGGCTAAACACATGAAGCTGTAGCGAGCACCTAGCATACCTCTGTGATTGGCCCAAATATTGACGATGTATTTCCGCCATCTATTTTTGTTGTCCTCAGGGGTTTCCCCCAATACTCTAGGGTTTCCCTTGCCAGTAACAGTTGACTAGATCTAGAAGATCTCATATTTTATTTTAAAAATTTTTGGTATTAATTTATTCTATCTTTTATATTACAATCTCAGCAATTCTCGTTCCATAAATTTACCTTTTCCTGTACAGATCTCTCCAGATTTTAAAGAAATGTAATCATAACTTTTCTTTGTCTAGCACCTGACAGGTCGTGCTTCCGAATGGCCAACGCTGGTTCGGCCACACCAAGGAGGAGCTGCTTCTAACTGTGAAAGGGTTCCTCGACGTTCGAGGCAGGGAAACACCTTGGCCAGACAACAAGCCAAGTGATAAGTGGTTTCGGTTGTTCCGCCAGCGGCACCCAACCATCACATTTAAGAAGCCACAGAAGCTTGGCTTTCTGCGGGCGAGCCTAACAGCTGAACCTGTTGAGGGGTGGTTCGCTCGCTTCAGTGACACAATCATATCCATTGACCCCACCATCCTACTGGAAGCGGGCAGGATTTTTAACGTAGATGAGTCGGGCTTCGCTGTGGATGTGACTTCTGGGAGAGTCCTCAGGGACATGAATAACAAGTACATATACGAAGTTGGCAGTGTGACCCACACAACGATCACTGCCTCGGTGTGTGCAAACGTCGTGGGCCACTACACTAAGCCAATGCTCATCTTCCCCGGCACACAGTTCCGTGATTTCCGTCCCCAAGACATCTTCCAGCAGTTCTTTGTCGCCCGCTCATCCAACAGATGGATAAATCAAGGTCTTTGGTGATTGGTAGGAGAATGTGTTCATTCCGGATACAGCAGCTTTGAAGAAGCCTGTGTTGCTGCTTCTGGATGGCCATGTGAGCCACCAGTCACTTAGGGCCTCTCAGCCCTTCCAGGAGAACGGTATAGTCTTGTATTGTCTTCTCGCACACGGAAGCCACATCATGCAACCACTTGATGTCGGCGTCTTCAAGACAATGAAGGTGGAATTGAAGACTGCAAAATTTTAAAGGAGAAGTGGTGACAAAAAGAAACTTCGCTGCCGTCTTTGAGAAAGCATACATGAAGACAATGGAAAAGCCCCTCTGCCCCACTGGACTTCCACAGCGTGGACTTAGGAAAGCTAGTGGTGAGATCCCCTCTACCTGCAACCCCTGCCGGTTACACACCATCACCACCACCCCTCACCGCTGCTTCACCAGCAGCCTCAGCGTGTGTCATCCCAGCAGTCTCAGCGTGTGTCATTCCAGCAGCCTCAGAATGTGTCATCCCAGCAGCCTCAGCATGTGTCATCCCAGCAGCCTCAGTCTCAGCTTGTGTCACCCCAGCAGCCTCAGCGTGTGTCCCCTCAGCAGCCCCAGCCTCAGCTTCATCAGAATCCCCTACATCTGCCCTTGGAAACACCCTTCAAAAATTCGCCATGATATGTAATCAGGTAGATGCCACGACCCTTCAGGGATACTTCAAAAGGCTTGAGGATGGCAGCCCAGGTGATCCTCTATTCGACCTGTGGAAGGTTTACTGCCTACTGAACTAACCACCCCCCCAGGCCAGCTGAACCAGTTTTACAACCCCCACAAGACCCCCTCAGAGCCCCGATTCCAAAGACCAGAAAGAGGTCAGAGAGGAAAAGAAAAGTGCTAAAAATACCCCAATTCATGAGTGGGGAGGAAATGATCAAATTACTGAAAGAAAAGGAACAGTAAAGGCTGATGAAACAAGGAAGAAGGCAGAGCGGAAAGTGGAATTGGAGAGAAAGAAGAAAGAGGCTGAAGAAAGTAAACAACAGAATGAGGAAAAGAAGAGGCAAAATGAAGAAAAGAAAAAGCAATGAGAAGAAGAAAAAAAGAAGCAACAACTAGAGAGACAAACAGAAGGAGCAGAAAAAGAAAAGAAAGAGATGGCAGAGAAGAAGAAGCGCGAGAACAAACAGTTTTAAGGGCTATTTTGCAAGCAGAAAAAAAGAAAGAGCCAGAAGTATAACTCTGAAACATCCGATGATGAAGACATTGAACTGATTTTGTATGACGACTTAGAGATGACATTTGTCAGATGACAGTCTAGGAAATGAAATTGAAATGTCCATGGCACATGGTGGGAGTGTGTCCGGTGTGTAGTAATGAGTCGGGGGGGGGGAGGAGAGAGAAATAGACGGATACAGTGTGAAATGTGCCTAGCATGGTACTATTTAATTTCACCTGTGTAAAAAATATAAATTTACTGTCCATGTCACAGGTGGATATTGAAAGTATTAAGCATGTAGGAAAGAGAGTGAGAAAGAAAGAGAAAGTGGGAGAGAAATGCACTACATTGTTTGAGTCAGTTTACTGATGATGCTGTACTCATTAGAGAGTGTGTGTGTGTGTGTGGGGAGGGGGGGTGTATGTGTGTGTGTGTGTGTGTGTGTGTGAGAGAGAGAGAGAGAGAGACAGACAGACAGACAGACAGACAGACAGAGAGAGAGAGAGAGAGAGAGAGAGAGAGAGAGAGAGAGCAGGGGGAAGTGCAAGCAAAATGTCCCCAGTTTGCAGGAGGGAACGAGAGAAAGATAGAGTGGGAAATAGGTGGGGAGAAAGAAAGACAGAAACAAACAAAGAAAAAGAGAAGGCGAGCGATACACAGAGGAGACAGCTCTAGAGAGAGAGGCAGAGAAATAGAATCTAGAGAGGGTGACTGCTCGATTGAAATTATGACCTTGTTCTTTTCTTCAAATTGCGATTCCTCCAACTCCAAAACAGAGGAAAAATGATCGTTCATTGAAAAGACATCCGCAAACTTCATTTAGATCGAGATCTAGATAGATCTCGATCTTGGCTAGTCTCGAAGGAAGTGGTGAGAATCCTATGTCTTGCTATTCTCTGAACCCCCTCCCTTGTTTTACCAGAAATTACCAAAGTGGGATCAGGGCTGAGGTTACCGGGGCTAAAGCTCCACAGGATCGTGTTGGTGTCTGAATAGACATACACAGATTTAGTCACAGTCAGGGCTGTCAAATTGGAGCCAAATCCCAGAAATTCGCCTCTTTTGGATCGTGTCTGGCCCAGAGAATTTCATTTGACCCTCTGGCTCTTCTTTGGTTCCAAACTCCAAATGTTGAAGAAGGGGACAGAAGAGGTAAGAAATAAAAAAATTAAAGTAAAGAAAAGAGCCTGGATTGCTTAAAATTATTAAATTAGTTAACACGATTTAACGCCCTCGTCCATTTGGTCCGAACAATTTACATAACCCTTCAACCGTCGTGCAAGAGCATGGTCTCGTGCTCGTGTCTCGTTACATTCGTACACGCTCTCTGTTCCTTGAACCATAATGTATTGTGTGCAGAGAGGCCAGCCGGCGTTAAGTGTGTAAA